CCCGTATACTGGGCTCTGGACTCAGTGGTGTTGTTCGCTTCTTCAGGTTTTGCGGAATCGTCTTCGGAGGTCAGGAGCATCTAAGGTTGAAAGGAATGCAGGGTATAGTAGGGCTGCCAGAATTTCAGGGTTTAGTAGAGTTTTATAGTAGGGCTATCAGAATTCCAGGGTATAGTAGGGTTTTGGGATTTCCCGGTAGAGCAGGGTTGTTTAGGCTTTGACGGTCTAGTAGGATTTGGGGGACTAACGTATGCTCGGGTTTATGAGGATTTCATGGTCTAGTAGGGCTTTTGGGCCTACCAGGCTTCCAATGAGTTCGAGGCGCTTCGAGTATGCTGACCCTAAACCCTTAACCCTAAACCCTAACCGTAACCCTAAACCCTATAGTATGCTATCGACCTCCAGAGCAGAGTCCAAATCCTCCGCCATGGCCAGGCTTTGGGCGGTAGGGAACCTAGAGGCTTCATATACAAGGACTGCTATTCCCAGAGGTTTAAGGTTTAAGGGTTAGAGGCTCCATATCATCGACTACTACTACTACTACTACTACTATGAAATTAGACCACTAAAACCATGATAAGGACGGTCTTCTGGTTCCATAGATGGTAGTCTATTTGGAGCCTTTGGGGAAGTCTATAAATCCATATATAAACCAGACCAAATAAGCCCTGCAAACGATCATACAACTTTACGCAGTTCGATGGCCCCAAAAGACACATACCGTGCCAGCTGTACAGGACTGCGCTTGGAGTGGCCGAGATCAGTGCCAGTTGAGACTCTCGGGATTCGGGCATAGCCCTAACATAGGGGCGTTAATAAATAGACTAGGGTTTGGGGGTATATTACACTATATTCAGAGTAAGGAACCCCCCAAAATAGTATAGGTAGTTATGTAGGCCCCTATAGTACCCCGGCCACTCCAGCACAGAGATGCGCAAGGTTACGGATGTTGTGACGAAGGAAGTGGACAATCCAACGAGGTCATGGCCACATCCGTCCTAGCGTGTTGGGCTGCGCTGGTCGCCTCCAAGGAATCGACAGCCTATATGTTGAAGAGTTCCTCCCGAAAGTTTGTTGAACCGAAAACTGGACATGGCAAAGCTTGGAAGATCAGCTCAGACCCAGGAAGATTCCGATTTGTGCTGCCGCTGGATGGAAGCGATGCCTGTGCAGGGCATCGATGGCCTATGGCTGCCTCTCTTCCTGCATGTGTGTATATACACATAGACAGCATATTAAATATCATTTTGTTCTATGTGTGTGTATATATATATACACGCATATATATATATATATACATATATATATATATGTCTCTCTCTCCCTCTCTCTCTCTCTCTCCCTCCCTCTCTCTCTCTCTCTCTCTCTCTCTCTCTCTCTCCGTAAACAATATCCCTCCCTGGATTCCCTCGCTGTCCTGAAAAACACCCAAATCAGTTCAGCAGTTCACCGTTCATTGCCCCAATGGTTCGGCACCCAAGAGTCACCATTTCACCAATAATTACACCATGTCACCGTCAATTTCCCCAACACGGTTAGTCAATTTCGCCAATTCATCGTTCATTTCCCCCATATATGGTTAGGATTTCACAAATACACTACTCATTTCCCGCAAATACACTTAGGCCGCAGCGACTTCACCAACTCACCGTTCATTTCCCCCACATGGTTGGTCCTCCTCACCTCATAGGTCCGAACTAACTGGTGAAATGGCAAAACGGTGAACTGGAGCAATGTTGAATTGGTGAAATGGTTTGCGGTGCGCAGCCACCTCATGGGGTTTGCCCTCCTCACCGATTTTTCGATATGGGAACCTGCAACATGTAAGCTAAACCGGTTTTGCAACAGTTCGTGGTCTTGCAAAACCATTAGAGAAAACGCCCACATGCCCGGAGCAACAAGAGCTGCCTAAAAGCCTCAGGCACAAAACCCCAAGCCAAGAACCCCAACCCCTAAACGGCCCTAAACCCTGAACTCCTAAACCCTAAACTCCTGAACCCAGAAACCGAAAACCCTAAAACCCCAAACCCAACACCCTAAAACCCCAAACTTCTTAACCCTAAAACCCTAAAACCCAAAACTTCTTAACCCTAAAACCCCAAACCCTAAAACCCAAAACCCACAACCCTTTCATGCCAGAATCCCTGTGCAAGGCCTCAGGCCGTGGGGACACGAGCCAAAGCAGCCGCATAGACCTGACAATTGTGGGTCTCTATATGGTTTGGGGTCTACCCTAAGGGTCCATGTACCCAAATAGTATATACTTTAGCCTTCAAGTAGTCCCTATATAGGTACTTTGGGGCCAAAGTATATGCTATTTGGGTACATGGACCCTTAGGGCTATCTTTGCAGAATCCAAGCCGCCGGAACGGCAAAAGGCTCAAAGGAGCTGAAAAGGCCTTAAGGCTCCTGGGGTTTTCCGGGACTCTAAGCAGGGCTGTGACACGTCTGGCTTCGATCTGGACTCTACACAAGGTTTTGGAGGTTTAGGGGGCCGCTAAACAGCTCCCAAACCAGCTTCTGAAGCTAGTGGTGGCGTCCAAAACGTCTGGGGCGTCTGGAAGATTTTAAGCAAGCTGCAGGCTCCGGGGGGCTCAGACAAGGCTAGACTCATGACACTGATGAGTGGCTCTTGCGTCGGATCTGGACTCTGATTACAGAGGCTGGGGGCTCAAATCCTTGGAGGGGGGGGGGGGCCTTTTTTCCTGATCTGACATGAACCATTATCAAGGACTGTCGAGGACTGGCGAGAGCATCGGATGAAGCCGTTTATCCGAAGCTCTGTTCTACAAGGATCCCCCCACTGTCCTTGCCCATCAGGTCCCTCAATAGTGGGTCTCTGGACTTTGACGTAACCAGGGAGACAAAAGTATAGACGTCTGTTTCACAATGGGTCCTTGAAGTAACAGGTTCAAAAAAGCATTCAAGTATGGTACTCCAGAACGCGGATAGTAGGCTTTTTCCATGGTACTACTGTTGATCATATAAATCCTGCACTACCTTAAGGACCCTAAACTAAACTATGGGAATCATGGCATATTCCTTGTTATGGGTAGTGCAGGATTTATATCATCAACCTTAGAACCTTAGACTCCCCATAAACCCTAAACCCTAAACTCAAAGGGTAAAAGGAGGGACCCTTAATAAGGACCCCTAGGTATATAACCTTTATTTACCCATTATATAGCCCATTAAAGAGTAGGGATCCCCATTAAGGGTCCCTCCTTTTGCCCTTTGATAAACCCTGAAACCCTAAACCATATCATCAACCGTAGGGGCTGCCTTCTGACCTCAGAGATCCAGGGCTCCATAGCCTGATCCCAGCTACCCCAAAACCCTGTGAGCCCTAAGAAACCCGAAACCTCCAAACGCCCTCCCTGTGAATCCTATGAGCCCTAAGCCCGATGAGCCGTAACCCTAATACCCTATTGTAGGGGCCTTTATCATCAGAATAGGGTTGTGGGGATCTAAGCCCAAACCCTAAACCCTGAACCCGAAACCCTAAACCTGAGCCCTAAAGGCTTGGCCCAGCGACGTCACGCAGCACCACGGTGGCGAGCTGAAAGGGGAGTGTCAAGGCAACAAGGCAGGGTGTAGGGTTTTCCCGTAGGACCCTAAGTAGTTCCTTTTTGGGATTACCTTATAGGATACTAAATATGTTCGGGTTTGGGGTTTAGGGGCTTAGGCGGCGTAGGGGTTGATGGGGTTTGGGGATTAGAGTTTCTTTAATGTAGACCTTTGACTGGTAGACGGCCCTGCCTCAAATGAGGGTATGATAGGTCTTACTTATCATATTATATAAGACCCTACATAGGGGTCTACATGAATCTTCTTAACCCTGGCCCCGTAAACTCGCATCTTGCCCGAAACCGTGCGCGATTTCAGGATGAGGGCTTACTTGCGGCTTAGATAAGAGTTTCGGGATGGTTTAGAGCTTACGGTTTGAGAGATCTCCAGCAAAACCCCAGCCCCGACTTCCGGGCGCTTTAAGCTCCACGTAGAACCTAACATAGACAAAAACTCCGGAGTGCTGAAATAGATCAAGGGGCCTTTCTTTTTCTGAGCATGTCCTGTGGGGTATAGGATACCAAGTATACCATAATGGGTACACATGTACGGTAAGGCAATACAATTGCAAATTCACCCCCTAGCCCGAGTAAGTTTTGACACTACCCGCATGCCCGGCACCCAAGTAATATAGGGGCCTTAATAATTAGAATAGGGTTTTGGGGATCCTGTGTATTTATAGTATCACTATACTAATGGAACCCTCAGGAATAATATTGGTAATTATCTAGGCTGCTGCAGTACACTGGATCGAGGCACTACTGCGCAATCATTGACTCTGCAAGCAAGGACAACGGGCGGGGGGAGTCCAGGCAAAAAAAAACCTTTAAGCCCAAACATTGTAAACTCCGATGCGAAAACCCGAATGCCCTAACCCTTTGGTCAGTAGTAACAGTATAGTCCTCGTAGTAGCGCAGCAGCGTGGTACGTGGTAATAGTCAGCAACTATGCTCGGTAGTACACGTGTCGTCATCGTCGTCGTCGTCGTCAGCCATAGCAGGCAGCAGTGGTAGTAGTCACCACGTCGAAGCTCCTTCCCAAAACCCTAAACCCAAAACCCTAAACCCAAAACCCGAAACCCAAAACCCTAAACCCAAAACCCTAAACCTAAAACCCAAACCCTAAACCCAAAACCCTAAACCCTAAACCGTCTTGCCTCCGCTTCCGAGGTTGGCTTCCCAGCGCGGGCATAGAGGTCCAGGAGGTACGTCTAGCCAAGCTCGAAGAGTGGGCTTAGGGTTTAGGGTTTAGGGGTTGGGGGTCTGGGATGGGTCTCAGGCTTGAAAAGGGTTCAGGGTTGCTCGTGCACAGACGCACCAGAAGCAAGACTGTCACGGCATCGTGGTGACGCCACGCAAGCTGATCGACACCACTTTGCAGCAGAGAGCCCTAAAACCTAAACTTTATTATTCAGTTGTGAGCATCCACCCTCTTCAACGCCGGTGCCGTCGTGTCCTGCGACCGCCACAACAGGACATGGTGGTAATCAGATCCAGATAGCCTCTCCGCCTTCCTGCTGGTTGGTCACTGCTCTCTGGATTTTGTACATGTACAGCATGTTGCTGACAGCCGCCGTGGTCCTGAATGCCCGCTTCCAGCAGCAAACGTGCAACCTTCAGATGCTCATTCGAAGAGGCGAGCATTTGGGCTGTGACGCCGTCCTGGCGACTACATTCTTTGTCAGCACCAGCTTCCAGCAGCAAACGTGCAACTCTGAGGCGACCAGTCGAAGATGCGAGCATTAGGGCGGTCATGCCGTCATCACGCCGACAATCTTTATCAGCTCCGGCTTGCAGCAGCAACCTTGCAACCTCCAACCGTCCACTCCATGATGCAAACATTAGTGGCGTCATGCCATCATGGCGCTGGCAATCCTTATCGGCACCGGCTTCCAACAGGAAACGTGTCACCTTCAAACCACCACGCCAAGATGCGAACATTAGTGCTGTCATGCCGTCAGGCTGACGGCGATGTGCATCAGCACCGTGTTGCAGCAGCAATGCTGCTACCTCGAAATCACCACCGTGACATGCGAGCATCAGAGCTGTCATGCCGTCGGAACAGCAGCAATCTTTATCAGCACCAGCTTCCAACAGCAATCGTGCAACCTCCAAGCGACCACTCCAGCAGCAACGTGCAGCATCCAGAGGGCCACTCCAAGATGCGAGCATTAGGGCGGTCATGCCGTCGTTGCGCCGACAGTCTTTGTCAGCACCAGCTTGCAGCAGCAATCGTGCAACTTCCAAGTGACCTTGACTGGATGCGAACATTAGTGCTGTCATGCCGTCAGGCTGACTACGAGGTGCATCAGCACCTTCTTGTAGCAACAATCGTGCTACCTCCGATTCACCGCTGTAAGATGCGAGCAAAAGCGCCGTCATGCCGTCATTGCACCGACGATCTTTGTCAGCACCAGCTTGCAACAGCAATCGTGCAACCTGCAAGTGACCAGTTTGAGATGCAAGCATTAGGGCTGTCATGCCGTCGCTGCACGAGCCGTCTTTATTGACACCTGCATTCAAAAGCAGACGTGCCACTTCTACGTGACCCCTTTCGGATGCAAACATGAGGGCTGTCTTGCCGTTGGGGTGCCTGTGATGTGCATCAGCAGCCCCTTCCAAGAGCAAACGTGCAACTGCCAGGTGGCCGCAAAGAGAGGCGAGCATGAGGGCAGTCATGCCCTTATATGCGTGGTCTGGACCAGCTCCTGCTTCCAGGAGCATGCGTGCAATTTCCAAGTGCCCTCTTTCACACGCGAGCATCAAGGTCGTCTTGCCGACATTCAGGTGCCGGACATCTTTATCAACGCCAGCTTCCAGCAAGCATCGGACCATGCTAGTGCGATTCCGTCGCGCGGCATCTGCCAAATCTTCTTCAGCTAGAAAAGCAAGGTCATTCCAGTTGCCGCGTTGAGGAGGGGTTGAGAGGGTCTGTAGTACCAAATATAAATCCATGGGTGCATCCAGCTTAGCGTCATCACCTAGGAGGCGGCCGTCGTGCAAAAGTTGCTGCAGGTATGTCGGGAAGCCGTGCACTTCGTACAAATATTTCTTCAGACCACCTGCATCCTTGATCCCCACACGCATGATAGGCAGCTCTTGCCCAGATGGTCTCCAGACACGAAGCATTCCCGCAGAAGGCATCACTTACGTGTGTACCAAGAGTCCTACACTGCAAGCTTTGAACCAGCTGCTCAAACGAAGGGCTTGTTCGAAACTGGGATTTTGGCGCCTGGAACGGCTATGCAACAACTCAAAGTGCACAAAAGACACTGCTGTGTTCCAAACTCCCCAGTCGAGCTTAGAAAGACAAGTGCGAGCTTTGCGGGACAAGCGCAAACAGCGCATAGACACAACCCTAAACCCGAAAAACTCAAGGCCCGAAGCTACAGAACTCCAGGCTTAGGGCTGAGGCACTTAGACTTAGACCCTCCGGTGCTAGGATTCAGGTTGTGGGGTTCCAGGAATTCAGCCCTAGCTCCAGACTTTGAGTACACAGCTGAGCATTGAAACCCTAGAAGCCCTAAACCCTAAACATTAACTAGTAATCCTACACACTAGGTCTGGCGTCATCTTGTCCGTAGGTCTTGGGATGCAGGCATTAATTCTCGCCTTTCAAGGGGATGTTTGCTCCAGCCTTATAGAGAGCTTCCAAACCGATCGGGCTCGTCAAACGGGAGCTTTGAGGATCCCGATATAACCCCGATCAGTAGAATCCATCATTTACGGACGCCAAAATGAAGTACGAAAATGTGGGAACCTGATTAAGAAACCCTGGTCCTACACCCCCAAAGTATCAGGATCCAATACATATAGCCCTAAGAAAGATGCAAGGTTTCTTAATCAGGTTCGTATATACTACCCGGTTATTACCCTAAATATGAAATCCCCCATAACACTAATGAAGGGCCCCAAAACTAGTGACTAGTGCCATCCCCAGGGGCTCTCCTGTGGACTGGGAACGATTATGTGGATAGGCAACTTCCTGTTACAGCTTGTGTTGAAATCCGATCCACAAGAAAGCACTAAACTCTTGAACCCCTTTGTCAACCCCAGCTAATTACTTTCTAAACCCCTCCGACCTAAATTCTGAGCCTCTTGTCACCTCCTAAACCTCAAAACCCTAATATCCCTAACTCTCAAACCGTTAAAAGGAGAACAAAAAAGCCTGCGTCGGGGTCGCCGGCATCTTCACGAAGTCGGCAAGCGACTGGCCATGAATCGCTGTCTGAAGCTACGGTATAGGGTAAAGGGTTTAGGATTTAGGGTTAAAGGGTCTAAGAGTTTACGGATTCATGGCTTGGTTTGCGGTGTGTCTATATCGGGTCTCCAAAGGAGTTGGCAGGTGAGGGTTTTACATGGTTTTTGCAGCTATGCATTGGATCTTTATACGGGTAGTGTCTTTGGGCTGTATAGGGGTCGCAGCGGTGAACTCACGGCATTTATCCAAAAAAAGGCTGAAGGAGTGGGATTAAAATATCGCATTAGGGATGAAAGATTATGATTAGGTTGTCGAGGTATGGGTCCACGATCCAAGCGCCGCATCGAGGGACCTGGGAAGCAGCTCATAAACTCGGTTCGCCTATCCTCGTCTTGACACTACTTATGATCTACCTGTCACCTCAAACCCTGCAAAAAAGTAAGTTCTGACTCGTTATGACCCCTCGATTATGGGGTACAGCCCTGAAAACAGGTTGTTGGATCTCCATGTACTTACTAAGTGCCGCAATCCTTCAGATAAGATGTACTCAAAACCGTTTCCTGGACACTGTCCCAGAGTGTCCATCTCTGCCAGCATTCTGGAATGAATTCCCCGAAGACCATCCTACTATGGCTTTGGGCCCTAGTTCCAAAGTAGTAGTATATACGGACCCTCCTGGTTTGTTAGACATCTCGAACCAGGGAGAACTGAAAGTATCCTCAAGACCCGAACCGGAACCCCAAAAGAGATGCTTGGGAGTTTAGGGTTTAGGGTTGGACAGCCGCAGTTCTTGGAGCTCTGGCTATTCATAGAAGACGGGTCCATCCCGGGTGTGCCAAGAGTGAAACCAAAAGATGCCCATACCCGCAACCTGTGGCAAATCGTGGAGCCGTAACAGACTGTCATCTCTCTTGGTAGGACAGAGCATATGACGCAGACTTCCTTAAAGTGCAACCAGGGGGTTTGGGGCGCTACTGATTTAGGTTTCGACGGACAATTCATCCCATGCCTTTGCTCCACCGAGCTTTCCACCTTTGACCCCAAAACCGAACCAACCCGCTGCTTGCCCGGGAAGCGAAGCAACTGGCCTGAGGGGGCACCGCGACACCTCCGAGGCGGTCAGTAAGAACTCTTTTGGGTTTAGGGTTTCGGGTTTAGGGTTTAGGAATACAGGGTTTAGGGTTTAGGGTTTAGGCTTTAGGAATACAGGTCCTGAATAACAAGGCAAGGAAACCAGGGTGTCGGGTTGTTGCGATCTTACGGTGCGCACGATACTGCTTTGGCATCTGCCTCCAGCCGATGGCTCGGGCGTCGTAGACGCTAAGGAATCTGTGAACGGCCGGGGTCAGGCTTCAGGGTCCAAAGTCAGACAATTTAGGGGCCTTAATAACATGAATTGGATCAGGATTTATGGGGTACATTCTACTATGATTGTACTAAGGGGCCCCAGAATAGTATTTGGTAATTATTTCGGCCCCTCTATTCCTGAGCTTGCCGCACGAGTGCCACTCGAGAATCCTTAAGTTGATGTAGCGGTTAAGGTTTAGGGTTTAGGGTTTGGGGTTTAGGGTTTAGGGTCCTGCATCCCTACTTCGCCTATTCCGGACCAGAAAAAAACGTGGAGCTGTCTGCTGATCTTCCATCATCACAGCAAGAAAATCAAACAGGAGCTTGCTATTGCAAAAAATTAAACCGAGAATCACAGCTGCAAAACTCTGTGTAATCCCTGTATAAACGAAGTCCCCATACTGGCCCATAACATCCTCTAACACCCCGACACATTCTAGAACAAAGTCCTAGAAAGCCCGTCTAGAACCCTCCAGCCCCGCTTAAACCCTAAGCCCCGATAGTGCCCTTGTAGAACCCTAAACCCTAACCCTAGACCCTAAACTAGAACCCTAAACCATAAACCCTCTTAAACCCTAAACTAGAACCCTAAACCCTAAACCCTCAACTAGAACCCTAAACCCTAAACTAGAACCCTAAACACTAAACTAGAATCCTGAACCATAAACCCTAAACCTTAAACCCTAAACTAGAATAAACCCTAGACCCTAGACACTAAACCCTAAACCCTAAACCCTAAATCCTAAACCCTAAACCCTAACCCCTAAACCCTAAACCTTATCCCAGAAGGAAGCTCCTCTCCCGGCCTTCTGCCAGGCCAAGCTCCGCTTGGGCTTCTGGGGCCAATGGCTGGCCGAGCGCCTGGGAAAACACTCGGTTCAGGGTTCAGGGTTTAGGGTTTAGGGTTTAGGGTTCGGGGTTTAGGGTCTAGGGTTCAGGGGCTAGGGTTTAGGGTGTACGGTTATGATTCTCGTGTGTCTATGAATAGGATACATTTCCTGTTCATGATTATGATTATGAGTATCTTCAACTGTGGCTATGTACATGCTATTGAAATTATGATGAAGTTTCTGCTTATGATTTTGATTATCTGCATTATCGTTTATAATTATTAAGCAGGTTTTTCGTTTGCCGGGGAAGGAAGGTTTAGGGGTGTGGGGTTGCGGGAGGTTCTTCTTGTGTGTTAGGTGTTTCCTTATATTATTATTATCGTTATTATTAGTCTTATTATTGCTATCATTATTATCATTATTATTATCATTATGATTATTAAGAATCTTTTAGCACGGTTTTTGTTTTAGGGCTTCGGACTTCGAGGCTTTTGCTGACTTGTGTTGACTTTCGTCGGGCTTGGCTTTGGCTACAAGCTTCCTGGGGTGGGTTTGGTTAAGGCTGGCTTCAAAAAGAGGAGGTCGGGGGGCTGCAATGTAAAAAGCTCTAGACCCACACCCTAAACTCGGGACTTTGAGACTGACTCGATAAGGCGTGTAACGGTTTAGGGTTTAGGGTTTAGGGGTTTAGGGTTTAGGGTTTAGGGATAAGGTGTCAGTATACTCTGGAAACTTCGAATATGGGTCGAGGATGATCTTTGCTAGGATCGCCTGTACTTGGCTATGAAGGCGTCAGTACCACGACATTTCAACTTTCTAGTGCTTACCGTAGAGGTCAGGAGTTGCGGGTCCAAGCTTTGTTTAGGAAATGAAGGTTTGCGGATTGGCGGGGTCAAAGAGTGCACCGCCAAAGCCAAATCCCGTAGGGAACCAAGGAGTCTGAACCAGCAGCTGGCGAGGAGTCTTTGGATGGGTTTCGTAGCCCGTAACCAGTAAAGGCATCGCCCAGCAAAACAAGGTGTCTTTAGCGTTTTGTAGGGGCTCGAGAAAATTTCAACCTGACATCGTCTACATTACCTTCATTGATGACCTTGAGAAGAGGCCCTTGAATATGAGCACCGTCTACCTTGTCATCCTAAACCCTTAAACCCTAAACCCTAAAATCCTCAAATCCTAAACCCTAAATATGCCCTGTCTTGGTAGGACCTCGTCGTTGTAAGGATTCAATTTCCTAGTCGAGGCAACTGCACCCTGTGCCCTTCCAAGGTACCTTCTAAGAGGAACTCTCAAAGGAACCCTAA